AAATACAATACAAATACAATACAAATACTTTAATGACCAAGTATAAAATATACACAAGGAATTTGTCTTCGGTGATGAACAGGAAAATCAACAGTGCATTTGGATAGCAACAAAAATTAATAAACAGTAACAATAACACTGCCCAATAAAATAACTTTTCCAAAGAAGAAGCCTCTGTCCAGTACATATCAAATCATACAGTGTTTAACAGAGCAATGGCACAAGGGAAAAAACTATTCCGATGTCTAGATGTTTTAACATATGGAGCTCTATAGCGCCGTCCCGAAGGAAGAAGTTGGAACAGTTTATATCCAGGATGAGAAGAGTCTGCAGATATCCTCTCTGCCCTCCTTTTGATTATAAGGAGATGCATGCAGTACACGTTCTTCATGTCATCTTTTCAATTACAGGTAGTCCTCATTTAGCAACTGCCCCGTACAGCAACCATTCACGGTTATGCTGGAGATGAAAAAGTAACTTTGTGACCAAACCTTGCATTTACAACCTTTGCAGGTATAAAGGAAAGGAAAGCTGAAGTAAGATCATACGGGTAAGAGCCCATATTAGGGAATACCTTGTAGTGATAAAGGGCAGCGAAATGTCAATGTTTCTCCAGCCTTATTGTGTCTGCTGATAGTCTTCCAATAGCCCTGTTTAGGGTGATCTGTTCCATAATGGGTAGAGAGGGCCTCCCAAAACATCTGCTGGATTGCTGTGAAGATTATTCAGGCTATTTGGTGGATAAAGTCATTCAAATTTGCTCCATCTTGGATTGACTGGGCAGAGCATGCTGAGGTGACTGGGCTATGGTCTGGTGGTATGATCTGAGTTTGAGCTGGTGACTCCTGAGGAAGTGGACAGGGCTGTCTGTGCTGTCAGCTCGCCCACCTGCTTACTGGATCCGGGTCCCTCCTGGGTTGTGAAAGCAACCAGGGAGGTGACCCATGGTTAGGTCCATGCAGTAGGGCCACCTCTTTGATGGAGGGGGTGGTGCCTCCAGCCTTGAAAGAGGCAGTGGTATACCCCCTCCTCAAGAGGCTATCCTTGGACCAAATGGTCTTCAATAACTATCAACCAGTCTCCAACCTCCACTTTTTGGGGAAGGTTGTTGAGACAGTGGTCAGCCTGCAGCTGATGAGAACCCTGGAAGAAACAGATTACCTAGACCCATTTCAGCCAGATTTCAGGCTGGGATTTAGTACTGAAACAGCTTTGGTCACGCTTATTGATGACCTGTGGCAGAGCTGGGATGGTGGTGGTGCATCCATACTTGTGTTCCTTGATCTCGTTGCAGCTTTTGATACTGTCAACCATGGTATCCTTCTGAGCTGGCTCTGTGGGCTGGGGATTGGGGGCACCATTTTATGGTAGTTCTCTTCCTTTCTCTGGGCCTGGTTCCAGTCAGTGTTGGTTGGTGGGGAGACATCATCCTCTAGGCCCCTCACTTGTGGGGTGCCATGAGGTTCTAGTCTCCCTCCTTTTCAACATCTACATTAAACTGCTGGGTGAGGTCATCCACCAGTTTGGGGTTCACTCAACAGTTTGGGGTACACTGATGATACCCAATTATATCTTTTCCCTCGGGGCCAGCCAAGTGAGGCTGTTGAGGTTCTGTCCAAGGGCCTGGAGGCTATGTGGGTTTGGATGGGGAGGAACTATCTCCGACTCAATCCTACCATGGTCAAGTGGCTGTGGGCTTTGGACCACCCCGATCTGAGGATATTCCAACTTTGACTTTGGATGGGGTTTCACTTCCCTATTCAAGGAGGGTATGCAATTTGGGAGTCTTCCTGGACTCATAGCTCCTGCTCAATGAGGTGGCAGCTGTGGCCAGGAAGACTTTTGCCCAGCTTCATCCAGTGTGCCAATTGCACACTTTCCTAGATAAGTGGGCCCTTCAGACAGTCACTCATGCCCTGGTCACCTCACTACTGCAACACGCTCTACATGGGGCTGCCCTTGAAGATTACCCGGAAGTGTCAGCTGGTCCAGAATGCAGCAGCATGGGCAGCAATGGACATGCCTCAGTGTGCCCATGTAACACTTCTGCTTCACGGGCTGCACTGGTTGCCAGTTTGCTTCTGGGTGCGATTCAAGGTGCTGGTCACTACTTATAAGCCCTACATGGCATAGGGCTTGGTTACTTGAGGGATCACCTCTCCCCCATAGTTTCTGCCTGACCAATTTGATCTGGCAGGGCTGGCGTGCTCCGGGTTCCATTGATTAAACAATGCCATCAATTGGCGTCCTAGCAGTGTGCCTTCTCTGTGGCAATGCCTACCCTCTGGAATGATGTTCCCCCCAAGATTTGAACGGCTCCTACCCTGCTGGCGTTTCAAAGGCCTTAAACACCTAGCTCTTTTCCTAGGCCTTTGAAGAGAATGATTGATGCTCCTTCCTCCTTCCCTCCCAGTTTGGAGTTTAAGGTCTTCTTCACTCTCATGATGTATTCACTCCTAACCTTCTTCTTGACTTCAATGTCCTTGATGTTGTCAGCTTGAAGGATGCCCAGGTATTTGTAGTGATCTTCATCCAGACTCTAAATTTATTTCCACAGGGTATCTTGATTCCTTCAGTTTTCACTATTTTTCCCTTGTTGATGTAAGGGTGGCACATTTGTACAGTTCGTTGTAATATCTTGGCTCTACAGTGTTGAGCTGCGATTCTATTTCAGATGGTGTTTTTCCATACAGCTTCAGACTGTCTATGTGAAGGAAGTGGAATAGCCTGGCAGATGTTTTTGATGTTTGGTAGCCATGGCCTGACTTGTTCAGTATTGTTAACAGAGGAATCAATACAATGACAAACAGTAGTGGTGATAGTGAGTCTCCTTGAAAGATTCCTCTCTTGATATTCCTCTCCCAGTCTATCACCATTGACCAGCAACTGTGTCTTCCACTGTGCCACTGATCTTTCCACAAAGCTTCTGATATTTCTACTGACTCATTATTTCTAGGCACCTGATTATCCAGTCATGTGGCAGGGAATCAAATGTCTTTTTGTAATCAATCCAAGCTACATTCAAGTTGGTCTTCCTTCTCTTGTAATTTTCCAAAATCATCTTGTCAATTAAGAGCTGATCTTTTGTTCCTCTGCTGTTTGAGCAATTTCCTTTCTGCTCAGAAAGAGCTTGTTTTCAACTAGATGCTGTAGGACTGCATCAGCTACACCAGTTAGCAATCTGAAAGTTGTTGGTGAGCAGGTAATTGACCTGTAGTTGCCTGAAGCTGCTCCTTTTGTTGGATTTTTCATTATCAGGTAGGTTTTGCCAGATGATGATAATGATGATGATTATAAGCGCAGTTGCGGTTTCAACTTAGCAACCGCTTCACTTAATGACTGAGTTGCCAGTCCCAACTGTGGTTGCTAAACAAGGACTACCTGTATGTATTTTTAACCACGATACAATATGATTACAAACTCAATATATAGAAAGTCTATGCAACATAAAGAAAACTGTTTCCTCTACCCAGAAGTTAGTTTACAGAATCCTTTCATTGACCTTTTGTTGGGATGAACATTTGACAAGATGAGGGAAAGCCAGTTCATGATACTTAAAACCCACCTTAAAAGGCACAAAGTATTATTCAGCTGAATATGCCATTACCTGACTTCCACTACATGGATCTGGTGTTTCAGGGCATCTTTGGATAACTGTATGGCTTTTAGGAGTCAAACTACTTGATGAGAAACTGCTGGCTAGGGCTGTTTTCCTATAAATTATTTCTACAAGACAGAAACAGTGTTAATGTTAAACACACACACACATACACATGAAATATACCAAACTATATTCCATTTCACATAGCTGAACATGTTTACTTACTAATAGTAGTATATTTCATTTATAAATGTACTTTTTGATTCATCCTATATTTTAAGTTGCTCTGATGGTAAACACAACATAAAATTCTAACACATAATATTCACTTTGTGGCAGAGTTAACATTCCCATTTAATTTACCCTACAACTAATCTATTTAAACACATAGAACTTTTAGCATCTTTTCTCCACCCAAACTGCCTTATTTATTTGTGCAAGTATGATCAGTCTGTGTATGCAAATTTACATCCTCCTCAGAAACAATTCAAACAACTTATATTTGCAAGTCTTTTATATAACTTGGAATATGCGGAAGTGCATATTATTTCATACTCAGTCATCTGAAGAATGTCCTGTAATACACTGCTGAATGAGGGAGGCATGTAATTTTCTGCTATTAACCTCCCATTCCCATCACTGAGTTGACTGGAGAGTTGGTGTGGGAAAACTGTTCATGGCAGAAGTGCATACACTTCACAGCATGCGTAAGAGACTGTCAAAATACTCCTATGAGAGCTAGCATAACTGGTGAGAAAGGAGGGAAGGCTGTGGTGGAGAAAGTGCAACTTCTTAAACCGTAACTACTGACCAAGATGGTAGGGCAGTATCTCATCCTTTTAAATGTTCTCATTGCCTTCAATGAGAAATTATTCATTATGCCAGCTCTGAGATTGGCATAGTTTTCGGCACTTTTTTCTAGGTGAGGGGGAATTTTGTGAGAACAAAGGGACTTAAGATCCTGTGGATCACAGGCTGGTCTCTGCTCTTTTGGGCTTCATCCAGAGACAATGCTGCCATGCGGAGAGGATCTAGCCTATATGCAGAATATGTATTTATTTAAAATATTTATATGGCCACCCAACTTATATACAATAACTCTAGGTGGCTCACAGCATAACAATAGAATATATAAGCAGACAATAACACTAACGTATCTATAGTGCTAGAAACATCCTCCCAGGCCCTGTAAGAATGTAGTGTAACTGGACTTGATATTTTTAGTCTATTCCTTTGCAAGGTTCTTCCCACCCATGAACTAAGACCTTCCAAGAACATACTTGCTGTTTAGGCAGCAGCATAATTCTGTAGTTATTGATTAGGAAGTTAATATCTTTGTTTAGGGGAGTATATTCCCTTGTATGTTTAGAATTGCAGCACAAAAATATAAATATATTAGCACAAATATAACCTGTTATCTCTATATCTAGAAAGATATGTATGTATGTATGAACATGCTTGTATTTTAGTTTTTTATTAAGAGGAAGTATGTGCGGTGTGTATATCTACCTCTTTATTAATAAAAAAACAAAAATACACAAATCAAATTTTAAGTAGAATATGTATTATTACCGTACTACACACTGTATTATTGTATGCACTATAATTTATTCTATAGAGGACATTTGAAGTCTCTGAGGTATTGCCACAGAGAAAAATAATCTATTACATTTTTGCAGAAGCTGAAGATAACAGAGTGTGAGAAGGCAGGGAGAAGTGAGGGCCTCAAACGAACCATGTTTGCTAGGGGAGAG